GAATGAGGTTGAATTCTTTATCAGAGTGTTTTGCAGATCAATAATCTTCATTGTCTTGACATGCATAGTAAGATTATCGTTCTAGATTCAGTTTTAAAGATGGTGGAATTTATATTATGAAAACTAAAATAGTCCATTGTGGATTCCCTAATGTTAAGTAGGAAAAATATTTCACAGTAGTGACTTCTCTACATCTATTGCACTCATGGGCTCTGTCTTCAGTATGGACTCTTTCATTTTGGAAAAGCTGCTTCTTTTGATTGAGGGCTTGCCCATATTCACTGCATTCACAGAATTTGTCTCCCATGTGAATCCTCTGATGTTGCAAAGAATAAGTACTCAGTGAGGGATTTTCCACATTCATTATATTCATGGAACTTTGCCTACATAGATGCTGTGATGTTTAGTTTGACATAAAATATGTTTAATGTTCTTTTCCACGTGTCTCACATATGCAAGACTTCTTATAGCAACTGTCTGCTTTGTAATAGGAATTGATCTCACTCTGAAATCGATCTCATATTTTCATGGAGTTTTTCCTTCTGGAGAATTGCAATTTGCTTCAACTTTATGAGCAACAAACGTATCTCCAGCATTCTTCTTACCTGAAAAACTGCTTTGTGAATATTTTCCTAATGCTAATTTCCCAGAAATGCCCTACTTTCATGACAGTCTCTCAGTTTCAGATAATCTCTCACTATGGAATAGAATGGTTGCATTTACATTTCAGCTGAGATCTGAGGATGTAGTAGATGTGGATACCAAAATTAGATGCCAAGACAGAATACAAGTATTCAAAGCAAATGATTTTTAAATGGCTAAACATTTGTTAATGGCTCACAAAAATGAAAACAAAAATATGCAAGATTACCTCAGACATAATTTTGTCAGCAGAATTTCTTTGAAGCCAACTATTCTGTGAACCCCGCTCCCTCCACAAAAGGAGAGTGAGGAGTCTCTACTTTACCAGTGTAATCTTATTGAGGGAGACTTTCAATGAAAAATTAACATCTGGCTCCTGCACCTGAGAAGACATAGGTCATTTTAATTATTGCATGGGACTAGGCATTCCAATTGAATGGGACTAGTCTAATTGCATGGGACTAAGCATTCTTACTGAGACTTTAATTGCAATTTAAAATCCACAAAAGCTTTCCTGGAGAATGAGGACAATTGTGAGCCTCTGGTGTTTTCATCTAGGAATGTTAGAAGAGTAACCTCACTGAGAGAAAATTCCAGAGAGATAGTAGGGAAAAACACAGAGTTCATACTGATCACCTTTTTTGACTTTCCCATGATCGACACACAGGTTCTATGAATTATGAGTATGCTTCTTTTTATCATTTACAAAAATTCCTTGTTCTCAATTCATAATAAATCTATTCACAGGAAACTGTACAGTCATCGAGCAGGCTCAAGTTGGCCCTTCTTCTTCAGTAAATTTCACAGACTTTAATTTGGTATAGATTTAAATGATATTAATGATACTGAGTTTCAGAAGTTGCCTACATGCCTCTTTTTGTGTGCGTGTGCTGGGTCCTTAGTTTTTGTTTTAATAAGGAGAGGAAATTCCCAAGGCAACCAAGAGCAATACATCAGCCCAAAACGCTTTCTTGCCCTTTTGTATTTTAAAATGAAAGCTAAAAGTTATGGTTATGGACTCTAGACTCTGTCTGAAAGTGGGAATCTTTATTGATCTTGTGCAGTCTGTTTCCCTTGAACTTAGTGTGTATTTAGTTCTTTAGTCTTTGGGGACAATGAGCAGAATGGGTGCCTACTATCTGACTATCTAAATCTAGGGTCCATAGGCCAAGATGGCAAAATCCAGCTACATGTTTTTTCATTGTAGACTTAAAGAAAATTTTTTAAATCCCATATAGAAACAAAGGAAATTAGCCGTACAATTTTCTAACCAAACAGAATCTTAACAAGACACTTTTGTCTGTTTCCTTGTTTGTTTGAGATGGAATTTTACTCTTGTTGCCCAGGCTGGAGTGCAATGGCGCAATCTCGGCTCACCGTAACCTCCGCCTCCCAGGTTTGAGCCATTCTCCTGCCTCAGCCTCTGGAGTAGCTGGGCTTACAGGCATGCACCACCCTGACTGGTTAATTTTGTATTTTTAATAGAGAAGGGATTTCTCCATGTTGGTCAGGCTGGTCTTGAACTCCCAAACTCAGGTGATCTGCCTCAGCCTACCAAAGTGCTCAGATTACAGGCATGAGCCACTGTGCCAGGCCAAGACATGTATTTCTCTGTTAACTAGAATTACAAAAACTCTCTTCCCCAAAAATACCAACAAAACATTGTAGTGCATTATCTAAAAAGAGTATGTTAATCCTTTTGTTTCCACTGAGAATTTAGGAAGATATGTTGCTACCAGAGGATTTTCAGATCTAGTTGCCATTTTCTCATTCTATTTTCTGAAGAAGCAAAGCTGACTTCCTGAGAAGATCTTCATCTTGGGTATGGTGGCTGAAACTTGTTCTCAGGGCTGGGAGCCATGGCTCAGGCTCCCAGCACGTTGGGAGACCCAGATGGGTGGATTGCTCGAGCCCAGGAGTTTGAGATTAACCTGGGCAATGTGGAGAGATTGTGTCTCTACAAAAAATTATTTTTAATAGTCATGTTTGGTGGCATATGCCTTTAGTCCCAGCTATTTGGGAAGCTGAGTTGGGAGGCTCTCTTGAGCTCAGGAACTTGAGGCTGCTGCAAGCCATAATTGTGCAACTGCACTCCATACTGGGCAACAGAGAGAGAACCTGTCTCAAAGTTTTCCTTGTTCTTTGAATGTTTTAACTTTGCCCAATCCTGGATAGCCTTGCCCTGTGTGATCAAAACCTATGGTACAAAATTAATGTGAAGAATTTTTTTTAATTTAAGAAATAGGTATATAATATAGCATCCTAAATCTCAGCGTCTATTTATTGGAATGGAATTATATTTGTGAGAACTTATCTCAGTGCTACATGGCATGAATACTGGGTGGAGTCATTTAAAGCAAAACCACTAGACTCACTTAACATTTTCAAAGACTAAACAACTACTTCCAAAGCTTGGAAAGTTAAGCAAGTATATTAAAATAGTGTCCTTAGACAAATCTCTATTTAAGGGAGATTTCTGACTCTCTGGATCTCAGTCCCACATGTTGGTCAAGGCATCTATTTACTCAGACTTGGATTTAAGGAGATACAGAGATGTTCAAAGGCAGACTCTGAAAATATGGATTTTCTTTGAACATGAAAAGATGATCTCCATCAGGAAGCTAATAACCTTAACTTAAATGAGATGTCTTTAAGTCTACCTATATTGTTAAGAAGTTCCATAAACTCACTGTATTAGTCAAGATTCTCCAGAAAAATTGCCCTACATATATATACATGTGTGTATATATGCACATTTCATTTTATTGTGCAGATATTACATTTTTATTATGTCTTGCAGATATTGCATTATCTAGAAATTAAAGGTATGTGGAAACCCTCTGTCAACGATGTGCATCAGCGCCTTTTTAACAACAGCACACGCTTACTTTGAGTCTCTGTATCAGTATTTTTTTTTGAGATGGAGTTTCGCTCTTGTTACCCAGGCTGGAGTGCAATGGCGCGATCTCGGCTCACCGCAACCTCCGCCTCCTGGGTTCAGGCAATTCTCCTGCCTCAGCTTCCTGAGTAGCTGGGATTACAGGCACGCGCCACCATGCCCAGCTAATTTTTTGTATTTTTAGTAGAGACGGGGTTTCACCATGTTGACCAGGATGGTCTCGATCTCTTGACCTCGTGATCCACCCTCCCTCAGCGTTCCAAAGTGCTGGGATTACAGGCATGAGCCACTGCGCACCGCTGCAATAAACTATTTTTAAATTAAGGTATCTACATTGCATTTTTAGACATAATGCTATCACACACTTAATAGACTACAGTGTCATATAACGTAACTTTTATATGCTATGGGAAACAAAAAAGTGTGTGACGACTTGCTTCATTTGGATATTTGCTTTATTGTGATATCTGAAACCAAACATGCAATATCTTCAAGGAATGTATATCTCTATCTTTAAATATAGATGCTTCTCTTTCTCTCTCTCTCTCTCTCTCTCTCTGTGTGTGTGTGTGTGTGTGTGTGTGTACATATATATATATATATGTCCTTAAAGACATATATATATTGGCATCTACATGCATATATATACATATAGAGAGAACAAATACATATATATGTATATAAAACAGGTATTATAAGAAATTACCTCACTTTATTATGGGGGTTGGTGAGTTCAAATCTGCAATAGGGTTGTCAGGCTATAGCAAAACAAGGAAAGCCAGTGTTCCAGTGCCAGTTTGAAGGCTGGCAGGCTAAAGAATTCTCTCTTGCTCAGCGAGACTGGACTTTTTGTGCTATGCAGGCCTTCAACTGATTGAATGAGATCCACTCACATTATGGAGAGTGATATTTCACCAAAAGTTCATAAATTTAATTTGGGAACATCCAAAAACATACCCCCCCAAAAAAATTTCATGCACAAGATCTGAGGCTGCTGTTGTTAATTTTATTTTTAATCATGTTTTATTGTATTCAGGATGCTATTTTTAAAAATACCAGAAATTAGGTAGTTTATAAACAACAACAAAAAAATGTTTCTCACAGTACTAGAGGCCGGAAAGGCCAAGATCAAGACTCCTGCAGATTCAGCATCTGGTAAGACCCCTCTTCTTTCTTCATAGAGAACAGGCTTTTTGCTGTGTCTCACATGGAAGCAAAGGCAAATGTGCTCTTTTGGATCCCTTTTAGAAGGACACTCATCCCATTCATGAGGGTTCTGCCCTCATGAGCACATTCCCTCCTAAAATTCCCATTTCCTTATATTATTGCCTTGTGGGTCAGGATTTTATCATATAAAGTTTGAGGAGACACAGACTTTCAGATCATAACATCAGGAGAAGCTTGAATTGAACATGAACTGAATTCAGTAGCTATAATTAATATAAAAGTAGAAATAATACAAACGATAATTTTTATATGTTTGACATTAAATTATTTATAAATTAGTGATTCAGCTTGCAAATAATCCCAAGTGCTTCCTTTCATCTTTCATCTGCATGCTATCTTTAAGCTAAGGCACTGTTTTCTTGTTGATAGTTCCTACCTACAAGTAAAAACAAAGAAGAAAAAAAAATGAGCTGAGAGATAAAATTATAATCAATCCATTTTGCTGCTGATGAAATTTTGTACAATATCTGTAGATTTCAATTATACACTTTTGAGTTCCACGTTATCATAGACAGTCAGTAGTTTATATAATCTATAGGGAGCGCAGAAAATGTTGAATTCCAGAAATTATGTGAAAATCAAAGAACTTAATGCTATCTAGTGATTGATGCTACCTGGTGATTCAAATATGTTAGATTACAAATCTGATTTTTATAAGGCTTAGGTGATTGGCAAGGAAAAAAAGAATCTCTTGAACATTCCATTTGAACATTCCATTTCCAGCAATGTTCATTCGTTTGCGGCATAAAATGTTTTTATGAACCATATTAGTATTGTAATAGGATATTAGATAGCCTAAAGGAGACAATTTTGATTTACACCTGAATACTCACTTTAACTAACGGGTCTTCTTGAAACATTTGAGTAAATCTTCAAAGAGATACTAATGCAGAAAGAGCCCATAAACAATTTTTTCCTACATTTTGGAAGTCTCTCTGTGCTGAATAAATCTTAAAAGTGATACAATGTGTAGCTCGCCACTCCTTAAAAATGGAATTTTCAACTTGTACCATTTTATTATATCATCATTATTTTTCAAGTTATAAAAATGTATTTTAATAGAACAGAGATATTTATTGCCTTAATACACCAAAATAAAGCAACAATAACAATGACAACAGCTGATCTGGCATACCCTGATAATCAAAATAGATAAAGCCTAAAAGTAAATAGTAAATGATTCTTTTTAAATATGTATTTTTATGCTGGTTTTTAGGTAGTAATAGCAAGCTGAACAAGATTTGGAAGAGGCAGAGCATGATTTATTAATATCATGAAATATACAAATTTCTCAGTGAACATTTAGAAGTTCAGGTACTAAGAAACATTTAAAAATCTTCAAAAATTTATTTTCAAAATATTAACTAAATAAATGAAGATGCAAATCCCAATCACAGTTAATAATTTTAGTAAACCCTTTCTTAGTAACTGATATGGCAAGTTGACTTAAAAGGGCAACCATTAGGAAGGATATAAGATATTGACCAACTATCAAACACCTTGACCTATTAAATATTTAAGAATATCCAACATCTGCAGAATGCACATTCTATCCAAGTGCACATCTAAGACAGACTATCTGCGGGACTGCAAGTCTCAAAATTAATTTAGATATCAATGACAATATGATATTTAGAAGACACACAGATATTCAGCTGCTAAATAACCAATGACTCAAAGATATCACAAGGGACGTTTTCAATGAAAGGATAATGTAAATGTAAAACACGCAAGCATATAGGCACAGGTCAAGCAGTGCTGAAGGGGACAATTACCACCTAAAATGCCTTAGGAAAAAAAACCAAAAAGCATTAAAGCCAATTATTTAAATTTCTACACTAAAAAGCTAAAGAAATTAAAACCCAAGTAAGTAAGAGAGTAAATAATCATATAGAAGCAGAATTTAATAAAATCATTAATAAAAAGTATTAATAAAAATTAGCAAAACCCAAGTTTCATTCTTTGAAAAGTTTTTAAAAATTAGTAAATCTCAGTGGACTGACTAAAGAGGATAAAACAGGAAGGAAAGAAGGAACGTTGAAGGGAGGGAGGGAAGGAATATGTTAGTAATATTAGGAGTAAATAAGAGAATATCATTTATAGTAGCTACAGAAATTAAAAAAAAAAAGAATATTATGAACAACTTCAAAAATACTATTAAAATTGACAGTAAAAAGCCATGTTACCAAAATTAAGATTAAATTTTTTTTTTTTTTTTTTTTTTTTTGAGACGGAGTTTCGCTCTTGTTACTCAGGCTGGAGTGCAATGGCGCAATCTCAGCTCACCGCAACCTCCGCCTCCTGGGTTCAGGCAATTCTCCTGCCTCAGCCTCCCGAGTAGCTGGGATTACAGGCATTCGCCACCATGCCCAGCTAGTTTTTTGTAATTTTTAGTAGAGACGGGGTTTCACCATGTTGACCAGGATGGTCGATCTGTTGACCTCGTGATCCACCCGCCTCGGCCTCCCAAAGTGCTGGGATTACAGGCTTGAGCCACCGTGCCCGGCCAAAAAGACATTTTGTCATCAATAACCTTCTGACGAAAAATTCCAGGTCCAGATGGTTTTACTTGTAAATTCTATAAACATTTAAGATTTAAATAATAATTATCTAAAAAAGAAATAAAAAAGCAAGTAAAGAACATTTTACAATTTAGTAGCTGACCTAATTCTAACACCAAAACCTGCTAATGACATTACAAGTTAACTACAAAATAATAAACATGGATGTGAAACGCTTTGAAAAATTATTAGACTACAATAAATTTGTGTTCTTTTTGGAATAACATGAAAAGCATTCTCTTTTGCTTTGATGATAAGAAAGCCTATCAAGGTCTTGCTCTGTATCAGATTAACTGTGAATCTCAGCAACTAATTAGCAGCCTTCAACATCATAATGGATCAGCATGGAATTAATCTGTACTGACTCAGCCCTTTAACCTAATGGTACCCCCTTGAATGTATTGCTTTTATTTCTTTGCCCAACAGGTCAACCTTCTTAATTAAAATTGCATAATAAAAATCTGTTGGAACTTCCCAACTTCCAAGATCCCAGATAGAAAATGCTATTTATTTTACCAGAAGTGATTCTGATAAGTAACGAAGCTATTATGTTCCAGTTCAAATTATAATCATCCTTTATGTTTCTCTCACTAAGCTGTAGGTCCACTTCCATGGCTTTGAATCAATATTAAGTTTAGCTGAGGAATTAATGCCAATCATATTTAAATAAACTTCTATAAGTGACTGTTAAAAAGGCATTCAACTTTCTAGATGCCGTGAGACTCATATTTCTTATAGGATAGAACAAAAATATTGAGAATGATATACTTTATTTTACTGTGTATTATTTTCATTTGTGTCAAAAATCAGAGATGTTTTAAGAAAAATATCTAGAAAATTATTTTCAGTTTAAAAAAGAGCTTATACTCACTGTCTCTGGATTTAGAAACTCTCAGAAGCTTTGATGAGTTATGGACACCTCCTTCATATAATGCACATATGAGCACAGATGAAACAAAATGCAAACAATTTCAGGCCTCCAGAAGTTCATCTGTGGAAGAGACCAGAACCTCAAATTAAGATGTACTAATCAAAGACTTTCTGATTTGGGTTTCCACATTTTTGAAACATTAATTTATAGAAGGTTTTTAAGAGGAATAAACAGTAAACAATCAAGATTGTATTTTCAGGAACTACTCTGACCCAGTAACTTAAAGCCAAATACTCAGTTTAATTAGGGAAGAGATAGACTAATAAGCCTAGAAAATAACATTTTGATAGTAGGCTTATCCCATCCACAAGCTTACCGTGTGACCTTAAACAAGGTGTTCAACCTCTCCAAGACTTTCTACATTGTTAGTTCAGAAAATAACGACATCTCTCACACAAAGTTATTGTGAGAAATGAATGATGAAATTCTCCTGAATATCCCTCACTGTGACTGGCACATTGATAGATTTCATAAACATTCGCCAGACTCACATATAGCAGATCATAGGGCTTTAGTCGCAAGCATCAACAATTCTCCGGAAGAGCTGCCTGTAAGTTCACAACTTCTCTCTCAGAGTAGTCCCTCACTAAACTTCACTGGGAGGTGCTGATGTATGGCATCACTGAAACAGCAAGAAGTGCAACAGTATAAACAAACAAAGCTAGGCCCTTGAAATTAAAGAACCCCAAAAGATTTATTCAACCAATCTCAAATTCCATTTACACATAAAACACAAATTCTTTGGTCATATAATAGAAACATCTGGGAACAGAACATAAGGATCAAAGGTGTAGAATGGAGTTGGGAAAATGAGTGCCCAGGATTGTGGTGCCCACCCCATCAGACTCTCAAGGATTTGAAGTGAAGGCATGACTGAGGTTCCCAGAATATCATTTTGATAGCTCTGCCATTGCCAGTTCCTTCTTTTTCACATGGTTGTAGTCAAAATTCAGGAGGCATACCTTCTTAAAATCACATGGAACATCCAGGACTCAGTCAGTATTACATCCTAGTTCCTTCCATTCTTTATCCCACAAACAACACTCCTCATCCCTCTGCAGTTATTTTTACATTTTCTAGGCAGGAAAGCAAAAGTGACAGATGATTTTAAAAGTAAAGTGATCTGCCTTCTTTTATTTATATAAAGTGATTTATGCCAGATCAATTCTTTGCTGCTGCCTGTTACCATATTTTCATTTTTCTTATGATTCTGGTATATTCATGCTACCACATGTTGACAAATTATAAGCGCTTAGCCCCCCACTCCCATCTAAACATATATACACAAATACACACTTCCTTCTTATTCTCCAGTCTAATTTCCATTAGAAGGCAACAAGCACTATACTTAACGTTTAACAAAGCACTATACTAAACATTTAGCAAAGAAGGCAGCAGGCACTATACTAAATATTTAACAAACATTAACTATTTTGTTTCCCTTAGGCATCATCCACATTTTAGTGATGAAGAAATCAATCTTAGTTTCTGTCCCAATAGAACAACCTGTAAAGTGGTAGAGCCACATTTTTTATATCAAAGCCCAGAACTTTTAATCACTAAATTGTACACTTACCTCCATATGTAAACTATCTATGTGTGTGCACAGGTGTTCCCAAACCTGAAATATTGTGCAATTCAGGAGCTCATGGGCTTATAAAGAAAAAAACAGGAGCTTCAACAAAAGCAACCTTAAATTAACTGGGGAAAATAAGGGTATCTAACTACTTTTTCATAACTTTGGTGCAACTCTGAGCTGAGTGACAGCAATGTAAGAGAGAAAGGCCTGAGGAAGGATAGAGCTAAATATTGAAGGGCAGTATAATCAAGGAGCCAGGAGTGTCCAAATTCTTTTGTGCAGGCAATCATACCTTACCTCTCCCAATGTTCTAAGGAGACTAAATGCAAAGTTCAATAACAAAATGGGAAAGCAAGAGATGCTTAGGTACTAGCTTTAATACTTAACACTCTGGCTAGGATTCAGGCCTAAGTAGGGTCCTATTCTTAGCTTGTGTCTCAGCCCCAGTCGGATTACTGTTATGTCTTAGAGCCAGTGCAGTGACCTAAGGCTTGTGCTTAAGTCTACTCACTTTCGTAATCACACAGTATTACCAAAGATAAGAAATGAGAGGAACCAAAGACCCTCAAATTCTCTGTTCTATTGGAGTGTGAAATCCAAGAGAAAGTGAGAAAGAATGGAGCCTATTTCTCCAATAATAACTGTCCTATTCACTATGCCAACTCTGGCTAATCACAGGAGTATCAAGATTTTGGCCATGTGAAGAGGTATCTAGCAGAGGCTGTATAAAGTCTTTTAAAAGGGGAGCGAAGACTGCAAATTACCCCCTTCACACACACACGCACACACACACGCACACACACACACAAACACACACGCACACACACGCACACACACACACACACACCTGTTTAATCATTCATGGACACTACAAATGTTTAGGTGGCTGTTTTCTGTCCTAGAGATAATTTAATAAATGAGACAAGTGGATGTGCAATCATCAACATTATATCTTAGTGAAGATATAATATTGCACGATTGATAAAGACAACAGAAATTATTATGTAAAAAGTAATTTCAGAGAGTGATAATTGCTATTGATGAAAATGGATCAGGGTCATACAAATGAATTTCACCCAATGAGGGAAAAACCAAGAATTTGAAGTCGAAAAGTCTGGGTTCTTGAGAAACACTCTGTTGCTCAATGTTCGGCTGTATAGTTAATCTTCCATGTAGCACTATATTGCCATCTGTAGAATGAAAAGATCAGCATTATTTAAGTGCTTAATACTTTCAGGAAACAAATATAAATAGCTAATGTTGGCTAACATCTTGTTTTATCCAAGCAGTGCACTAAATATATTACTTACATGAATTTTTATCCATAAAACAATCCCAGATGGTAGATGCCACATCTATGGCTGTCTTACAAATGATAAAACCAAGACAGGTAAAAGCTAGTTATATAGTTTGGATATTTGTTTCCACCAAAATCTCATGTTGAATTGTAATCCCCAGTGCTGGAGGTGGGGCCTAGTAGAAGGTGTTTGGATCATGAGGGTGGATCCCTCATGGTTTGGTGCTGTCTTTGGGATTGTGAGTTCTTGCAAAATCTGGTCATTTAAAAGCATGTGGCACTTGCTTCTACCCCTATGCTCTCTCTTGCATTTTTGCTATGTCATGCTTCACCTCTTGTCATGAGTAAAATCTTCCTGAGGCCTCCCCAGAAGCAGATGCTGGCACCATACTCCCTGTACAGCAGAAATGTGAGCCAATTAAACCTTTTTTCTTTATAAACTATCAAGTAATGCAAGAACAGACTAACACAGTTAATGTACTCAAGAGCATGCATCTAGAAGGGGAAGTATTGAAAAAAAATTGAACTAAGGTAATCTGTTAAATTGGAGCATAACACTATACCATAATTGCTTATAAAAAAGAGTAGGCTTACGCCCACAATCCCAGCATTTTTGGAGGTTGAAGCAAGTGGATCACAAAGTCAGGAGTTCAAGACCAGCCTGGTCAAAATGGTGAAGCCCTGTCTCTACTAAAAATACAAAAATAGCTAAGTATGGTGGTGGGCACCTGTAATCCCAGCTACTTGGGAGGCTCGGGCAGGGAATTGCTTGACCCTGGGAAGTGGAGGTTGCAGTGAACCGAGATCACACCACTGAACTCCAGCCTGGGCAGCAGAGTGAGACTTTGTCTCAAAAAAAAAAAAAAAAGAATCTATCCATACACAGATGCTTATTGAAATTGGTGTAGTTAATTTTTATTCTGAGCCACTGAGGAAACCCAGGTGGAGATCCACGTGGTCTCAGGATAGAGTTATGACTCTTTTTTTTTTTTTTCTCTTAGCTGAGATTCTCTCACCCAGGAGAATTGAGAATGAGTCCTTAAGTATGTAAATGTATTTTCTTTAGGGCACAAATCCTACTGAAAGAGGGAAGATGGTAAGTTAAATGAATAAATTCCATGGTTTTGTTGTTTATCTTTTGTCCTTAAATGTTCCTCCATTGAAAATGTGCTTTTAATGACATGGAATTTGAAAAATTATTGCGTGCTCTAGAAAAGTGATATACAGACATAGAGGGATATTAGGAGACGGAAAAACAATTCACTGCCTCATAAGGTTGGCTTAATATTTGCCCAATTCCCAGGCATATAAAGAGTGGCATGAGAATATGAAAGTCAGGTAAGGCATTCACTGCTTCTCAAAGAGATTCAGTCCTGTTTCAGGGACCAAGCAGGAGTAAGAAATCAATAGTTCTTTCAAAAGTAGTGAGCATTATGGAATTAAATACACGAAGAGTGCAAAGCATTCTAGAATCTAGAGGGCAGAGATAACTGAGTTAAGGGTTCCAGTTTTGCATGCTGCTTCTTTTAGCCCTCCCAGTGACCCACCTAGTTTCACATTTTGAATCTGGCATAGTGGATATAGAGCAGGGGGAATGATAGCCAAGGAACTCCACAACGTGATAGTGTTAGAAACAATCTTCAAGGTGATTAACCAAACACAGACTGACTTTAAGAATATAGATGGGAGCAGCATGAATGAGAGAGGCATGAAAGTGAGATGCAAGAATGAGAAAATGTGAGGGGGAAGAAATAACAAAGTTACGTGGAGCAAAGCTGTTAGATGGATGTGGCAAGATGTGAAGCTGAATAGATTATGCAAGTCTTTAAATACCAGGCAAGGTAGGTTGAACCCTAGTCTCATTATTCAGGGCGGTTGCCTTGGGGGAAATAATTATCTTCCTAAAGAGGTGAGCTCAGCATCTGGGTACAGTAAGACCGTGTTGCTTTGCCTTGCCTTAGATGTTCCCAGTTCTGGACTAAGCCAAGTCAAAAGGCTTACAGCCTAGTTTTTATAGGCAGTGCCATCATTAAGCGACAAAGCATCATGGAGATTTGAAATGAACAGATTAAACATGCCTGTCACTCAGCCCGGCTGTGTGTGGTGGCAAATGCAGCCGGCTCCACTCTATTTGAGCCAGGTCTCTTGGGAACAATTTAAAAAGTGTGACTTAAATGAAGTCACTGTAAATGAGTCTGTACAGGGCAGCACTGAATATGCCATGTGGAAATCAGGCTGTTTGTGTCAGAGAATAGATGGCAACCTCCGGGCTGGAGGGAGAGTTGCATTTTAAGGGCTAGGCATTCAGTCTTCATAACATTTAACATGATTCTCAACATTACTTAAGCAATAAAACTGTTCACTACTATCAAGATTGGAGATATTTGTATAATACATATATGTTCTAATTTCTGACATTTAGCATGGATCTCATTTAGAAATAACAAAGAAAACTTCCAAAGGTCTGTCAGTAATAAATGGAAAGGTAAATCTTCTATATGTGGGTTCTGAAGTAATCTTTATATATGGTGTATGCACACAGTAATGAACTTTCAAAAAGTGAACTCCCCAGAATATTTATGTATGGAAATGAGATCTCTTTACATCTTAAACAGCAATTATTGTTTTTTTAAAAAGAGTTCATGATTTGGAATCAGACAGGCCTGAATTCCAAAACTGGCACTGTCATTGACTATAACCTTCAACAAGCCATTTCACTTGCTAAACCTCAGTGTATTGTCAAGTAAGCTTAATAATATACACCTGCAATGTTACAGAGAGGAATAAATAAAAAGGCATGTCACTGGTGCATAATAGGCATACATCAAATAATGCAGTATGTCTATTTATTCTAAAATGTGCTCATTGCTTTAACCATATTTTGAAATTTTTCTTATCTAAATCTTCTCCAAAGAAAGGACCTTAGTATAACAAATGAGCAAATGACTTATATAACTTATTTTCTAAAAGTAATATTCTTCTTTTTAATCCAAAGTCAGATTACATGTTTGAAAAAAAAATTACCATTAGGTTACTCAAATCAGTTAATTATTTTGGCACATTTTTTTTTCTGACCCCTTCTTACATACCAATTAGTGCTCTTCAAATTGATTGCTCACCTTATCCCACAGACTTATTTCTAATGATTTTTGACCACTTCCTAAATTCCAATCTAAGACACAAATCACAGACAGGCAGGTTGTGAAATCTGTCACCCCGTTTATTGCCAAGCTTGACTGAAATGATCCATCCACTAAGTGGATATTACCTTCCCACATCAACACTCAACAGGCATCCCTCCTAAAGACACACAATCAAAAACGATGATGTTTATGGTTGGTTCAGAAAGAGGAGGTGGGTATTTTTCCATCAATAATTTGCTGCAAGTAGCTGACCTCTGCCAGAGTCTCCAAAACCTTATGAAGGACTATTTATGGGAGAAGATGAATTTACCTTAAAGGACAGAGATCAGACATGATGACAGGTACCCAAATAAGGGTACACCCTTCATGAATTGGAGGAAAATATGAAAAACAGAATCCCAGAAATATTTCAGTCAGTGACAGCATCCATTCCTGAAAAAAACTCCTAGGCTCACCTATGCTTTTAGAAACATTTTATCTGATTCACTCATTTTTGAATCCCAAACTCTTAGTACCTGCCTGGTCTATTGCAGGGACCATCGCAAGGAATCAATACATACTCAAGTGAAAAAATTTGGATGTATAAGTTTTTAAGAATTCCATGTCATTTCTTTGAAAACATACATTCCCTAGTTTTCTTTTAAAACATGGCACATTCCACAAACGTTACTGCCTAAACTTTGTTTACAAAGTCTCTGACAGGAATATACTACACCCAAGATTATTACAGTTTAACTTCAACCATCTAAGGTTTAAAGGCAGCAAGAATACTGCCATCAATTTTAGTAAAAATTCACTGTCATCACATCTGAGAGAGAATGCCAGGCTTCACTGATTGATCCGATATGTACTTCTGGTCTTCAGATTTTTACCTTTTAGGAAAACAAGGTACACTTTATCATTTAAAGGTATGTAATTATAAGACTCTGGCACTGTTTCTAAGTAGCTAGTTCGAAAGAAACTTGACTTTATTCTTAAGACTGTAAGAACCACCACTGAGCATGGATGTTGCATGAATGGAAGTGAAAGTGAATGGAAAGAACACAGATGTGGTATCAGGAATTGCAATCCCATCTGTATCCATGGTTACTTTCGTAGCTTGTCCAGGATGCTTAACATCTCTAGACTTCAGTTTCCTTGTATAGAGATATAGACAATAATTTCTACCTTCTGGGATTCTTGCAATGATTCCATGAAACAAAATAAATGACTATATATTATAGGTCTTGGTATGCAGTAGGTGCTCAAATCAGTCTGCATTTGCAAAGGTTATATAAGTGGCCAAGTGGTTATATGGCCTCCTGCTCTATTTTATGGGAGGCAGGCAGAAAGCTCATATCACATCAGAATCCTGGAGACAATGAGAAAGCATGTCCTAATAGCCTCCCAGGGGAGACAGGGAGGCAAGCAAGAGGGGGACGGCCTCTTAGCAGGTCCTCACAGGCCTCCCCTCCTTTCAGGTTCTGGAATTATCACAAAGAGTTCCTCCAAGACTCAGAAAAGTGGCAGTTCAAGCCTTGGCTTGTGTGGCCTGTGTAAATGTGCACGAGGTCCATACTCCCCTACAATCATACTTGTGTTACTTTTTTCCATTAAGAAAAATAATTAGTTTGCATTTGCCACCAGAATTTTCTCAAATCTCAACAACATCATAATAAAGCTAAAATTGTAGAGTTTTCACACAAAGTTTTCAACCTATGCTTTGACTAGAATCGACTAGGAATGACATTTTAATTGCTTAGATAACCTA